AAGTCAGTAGCAAACAACCAAATGAAAAACTTCTGAGGTTTTGTTTTATTTAAATCACCAAAGTATTTAGTAGAAATGCTTCTGGATTAAAATTTTCAGTATGCATGTAGTTATTGTATACGCAGCCCTTTTGGAAGCAGTAAGTTGGGAACAGTTTTTAAGAAAGGAGCTTCACTTCTCAGCTGATTGCAGTGGACAGCTTGTCCCGTAGCTTTGTGAACTAAATTTACTTTCATTGTATGGAGCAATTCCATTTTTCCACTTTCGTATGACATACCATCTATATCAATGAACTAGTTTCATCTTCCTCTCTTGAAACCCTTTCATTATTGTAAAATAATCTGAGATAAGAACAGCTGAATGCTTCTACATGAAGATACGTAGGTAGTTTTGTAGCAGTGTCACTTCATCTTGTGTGCAGCTGATTAATTAGTGGAAAAAAAGCTGTGACTGTTGCTTTGCAGAATTGCTGTCAGATGCAGCAACTGAAAACACTATTATGCAGAGTAAAGTTGAAACTGTGTGCCTTTTATAAGAGCAGTGTAAGAATTGCAAAAATTAGTGGGATAGGAGATAACCTTGCAGAAAACAAGGTGTCGTATGTTTATTTCCTGAAGAAGTAATTTTGAAAAGTAATGTCTGTTTTATTGGCATTATAAAGACAAACCAAGGGAAGTATAAAAAGCATGCATTTTTATCTTTAAAATGTTGGTATTTTTGGAAGAACAGTGCAGAGGCAAAACTTTCTGCTGCTCTAAACCCAGTTCATAATTTAAGCTAATATAATTTTTGCAATTTAAGTACATTCTTCTGTTTTGAAGATTTAACTGGTCTTAAATTAAGTGTTTTTATTTCTTTTCCTAGAGAGCTAAAGTTTTGGCCACATCCTCTGGTTTTCCTGGGTTTACTCCTCAGTCTATTCTCAGGTCCAGCCTTCGCACTACACCCCTAGCAACTCCCTCTGCATCCCCAGGACGATCAGTTACTCCTCCTCTACGAGCCAAGGAACTTAGAATATCTTTCAGGGAAGAGAACTCGCATGCAAAATGGACTGTTGGGGTAAGCTGAGCTGCAGTTAATGAGTTTTGCAGATAATGCTGTGATTTAATTTAGACTTGAAAGTTTGCCTGAACTCCTTATACTGAGAATATGGATTGTGAATCAGAATGGCAGAATTTGGTCCAAAAAAAGATTGTGTTGTGCTAGACATTCTGTAACATCATGTTTTTGCAGGAACATATTCATAACAAATATCAGGGACCTTGATGAGTTTTATTCAGATGTTGTTAGGACCTCTGGTTATTCAGAATGTTAGTTCACCTTTCAGCTGTACCTTTTCAAATGGTAATGTTGCAGGAAAGTGAGGAATACAGATGGAGCCTCTTGTTTGGGTTTGTTAAATTTTGTAAATTTGAACATCTGGGAAAGCAAAAAGAGTCATAAAGATGCATTGACATTCAACCTGTCATTTTGCAATGTTGGGTTTACTTAAATGATGGTAAAAAGAGACTCCTGATGAAGAGAACTGTAGTGTTTTGTTCTCTCAGCCCTAAAGTTCTTGGGTTTGCTTCTTACCTTGCACCAGGGATAGCATCCATGTAGTTTTCAAATGCAGTGGGTCCATCTGACCAGCTGTGATCTGTTCTGCAGCTGCATAACTGGATTCTGTGGTTCAGCCCATCGTGCAGTTGTCAGCATCATGTACCTAAATCAGGGGCACAACAGGGGCATGTGGTGCTATGCCATGTGTGAGTAGCTCACGTGTATTCCAAGGAGCTACTCAGTTGTAACAAGATGTGCTCTCTCCTGTATGAAATTCTTATTAATAGTGGCACTATGGCCAGATTAACTTACTTGTTCCATGCCACAGGCGGAGTTGAACAACCAGCATATTTTAGCAGTGTGTATGTGTTGAGAGGGCAAACATAAAATAGAAAAATCTTGAGTTAGGATTTTATTAGGCAAAGCTTTGTCTTCCTGAAAACACACTAGTAAACTCAGTTAAGAGCCTTGAGATGACATTGTGAGCAAGACCGATTTAATCTTAGTTCTTCAATGTCGTGGAAGCTCAGTAAGCAATCTAAAGTGTGATTAATTTTTACACTTGGCCTTAAATCTAAGATAGTGCTAGAATGTGAATTAATTTTTCATTGCCTCACTAAGGGGATATGTGTAACTTAGAAATATCAGTACTTGTTGGGTTTTTTTGGTTTTCCTTTGACAAAAAGCAGATTCATGTTGCTGATCTGAACTCTTTTTTTAGGTGACAGAAGATGATAAAGCACTATTTGGAGCTTCATCTGAGCATCATCATGGTTTGGTGGAGGATGCTTGGTCTGAAAATAGAGCTAAACCAGCTCTGTTTACTCTGAGCAATCCTGGGGATGATCATGCTGAATTACAGGAGTCTTTAGAAAGCATACCTGGGGATGATTTGGAGAAGATGGATGTCAGCAAGGAAAATAGTAACTTCTCTGTCAGATCAGACCAGACTACTTTGGAGTATCACGATGCAAAATCACCTAGTGATTTTGAAGATGATGTCATCTTTGTAGCTGCTAAACCAGCTAATTCTTCCACTGAAGAAACTGTTGATGTTCAAGAACTGGAGAAGGAGGAAGAAAATGAAATGGTTGAAGATAAACCTTTGCAGATGAAACAACCAGACCCTTCAGGACGAAGAAAAGAAGCAGGTGTGTTTTGTCCTATAATAACCTAAGTTTCTGAATTTTTCAAATGTCTTCAAAAGATTGAATTACTGATGAGTGCAGCAGATAAGGATGAGTTTTCACAGGTGCCCTAGGCTTGTAAAATTGCCTCTGTGTTTTAAGTCCTTTAGGTATCTGGCCCTTATGAATGTTTGCTTTCCTTGGCTGACATTTTTTATATGCAGTTGCAGCTGAAAGGCGACCATATGGGAGTTTTGACAAGGGATACATGTTTAAAACTGGCTTCTGGTTGTGCTTTAGGGGTACTTCTATAATTTGCAGGAGTTTTTACATGGTTTGACTGAAATTATGCATCGGGCTTTTTGAGCACAGGCCATCTGTGCATTTGAGGTCTTGGTAGCATTATTTTGTTAAGTCCCTGTCCTAGATGAAATGCATAAAATATCACTTTAAACTCATATGAGCAGTTTAAAAGAAGTGATGTTGAGTGCAACAGGGAAGTTATCTCATTTCTTCATTTTTGTAGGATTTGTGGAAGAATCAAATGCTGAATGTCATACTCTTCCTGAGCATAAGTTGGTGTTTAAAGCTGCTGAAGCTGCAACTTCTGGGGCTGGAAATGAAGGGTGAGCTTATGAAGTGGATATGTCATTGGGTTCACACAACATATAGCTGCTGTCTTTTCTGTGTTCTGTGACCTGGGATTAGTTCTTTCCTGCATTCTTATATGTAAGGGCATGTCCATTCCATTCTGTCTGTGAGCCAAAGTAATCTGGCATGAATGTAATGCACACTGACTAGCTGTCTGAGCCTTTTTTCTCAAATCATTGCAGAGCCCAGAGTATGATGATAAAGACTTCATTCAACAGTCCTATACAGGCCCTGTGAGAGTTACTAAGCAGATAGTGTAAACATAAGCCCTGTTTTTTTCTGAAAATGGTGTAGTTAAAAATGAATCTTGAGATTCCTGTAACTTCAGTGGGTTTATTATGGAGTTTGAATGCTTTCTGACAGTATTTTTTACATTTATTTTCTGTTTTCTGTGTGTGCTCAACTAGCATCTATTTGTTTATGGAAAAGGGAAGCTGGTTTCTCATCAGGTACATTAAAAGCCACAACTGTTGAGTGATAAAGACAGAATGTCAGCAATGAGAGAACTCTGAATTTTAAGTGGTAGCTTTCACCTCTACAGACTTTTGTTCGGTTGGTTCTGAACCTCTGTTATTGATATTGCCCTCTTTCTACAGAAGACACATACTGCATTATTCTGTGATACACCTCAGTTATGTAATTACCTAGTGTTGGATAGCCGGAAAGAATGCTAAGTAGTTGATATATTGCATAAAATGAGTTACAGAGAATTGCAAATTGAGTCACAAATTGAATATGTTGATAGAGAAATTTCTCATTTTTCTTGTATTTTTTATGTTTTGAAACATGAAGATTTTACAGTGAGAAAGTAACTTGTAAAGCTCTTAAAGGCTTGTTTTCAAGCTTCGTGATGAATTTCTCTCTTTCTTTTCACAAAGTGAAACAACCTACCTGAAGTCTGAAATGACCTCTTCATCAGAAGAAAAAGCTGTACTGGTTGCAACAAATCCGCAGCTCACTGAATCCCCGGAGGCAGACAGTGAATGTATGTTGGAAATGTTCTGTGTGTTAGGGTAACAGAGCTCCTCAAGTGAAATGTGTAGTTTGCCATACCACTGCAGGTGTCTCAGAGTGAAATAGTAGTAGCATGTTACTGCTAACTTTCATGAAACTACAGAGAGAGCACCCTCCTTAAAGAAAGTCCTTGTAGAAAGTGCACGGTGAATCTTTTCGTTCTTGATCAAAATATTGAGATGCTGGTAGAATTTAAAGTATTATAAGGAGAGATCAGTGTTTATTTTAATGTTGTACACCACTACCAATTTGTGTGCCCTGGGATCTGTTGCTTGAGTTACTGTTTTAAAAGATGATGCATCCTCAATATTCAGACCGAGGCAGCTGTCTACCAGTGTGCCTTTCTAGCCACATTTTCCTCTTTTTTCCCCCGGTATGGACTTGACAGCTGATTTTCTCCTGCTTCTTTCTTGCTATGGGGCTGCATCTGTAGTTGTCACAGTTTAAAACCTGTTGACACCTAAGCCCTACACAGCCACTCGCTCATTTCCCCTGGGTGAGTGGGGGAGAGAATCGGAGAGCTAAAGGTGAGGAAACTCATGGGTTGAGCAGAAAGGGAAAGCAGAAGTCTTGCTCACAAGTCAAGCAAAACAATTAATTCACCACTTCCCGTTGTCAGGCAGATGTTCAGCTATCTCCAGAAAAGCAGGAAGATGGGTTGTGGGAAGACAAACACCATAACTTCCAATGTCTCCTGATTCTTCTTTCTTTCATCCGCCTTTTATGCTGAACATGATGCCATATTTTGTAGGATGTCAGTTGGGATCAACTGTCCTCGGCTGTGTCCCCTCCCATCTCCTTGTGCACCCCCAGCCCACTCCCTGCTAGCATGATGTGAGAAGCAGAAAAGGACTTGTCTCTGTGTAGGTGCTGCTCAGCAATGGCTAAAACATCCCTGTGTTATCAACATTGCCTTCAGCACAAATCCAGAATAGAGCAGTACCAGCTACTATGAAGAAAATTAACTATCCCAGCCAAAACCAGCACGATAGTTCTAGCTTTTGGAGAAAGCCCAGTGTATGTGGCAGGATGGAGAACCATATTGTTGGCTATTGCTAGCTCTGTTACTTCTTTTTGCTTAGACTTATGTCATTTATATAAAGGTTAAGGTAAAATTACATCAATCTCTTCTAGCTGTGATAAGTATCCATGACAGTGAGGATATGGTCAGTACCCTGTCTGAAAATCGCCTTGAGGACAAGTGTGTGGATTTACCTCAAGAATATAACCCTGAAATTGCTGAAGTTGAAGAAGGCCCTGTTTCTAACAATCCTCCAAAAACTGAGGAAATTAATGTAAGTAAACTATTTTCCCATTTTCTACGAAATAGAAAACACATTGCAATATGAGGACAGACCTGTTCTACTGACAATTAGGAGACACTCAAAAATGTCCGTTTCTTGAGCTGCTTAACACAAGTTAAAAACCTCAGTGTAGTAAGGGCAAATAGGTTTTTCTCTTCTGCGTTTTCTGTTCCTGTAACATGAATGGAAGCTGTCAAGACTTAGGCCTTTGGGAGCAAACAAAACCAAATAAAAGCCTAAACTCTTTTTAAAACAGCTAGGCATTAATTTGATTTACTTGAATTCAAACTTTTTTATTTTTGATTAAAAATGTAGTTTTAATGTTAAAGACAACCAGAAAGTTATAGGAGTGCGCCGTTGTAGTGGTAACCATTTACCAAATGACAAAAAGATGTGGGAAACCAAACTCAGAATTATTTAGGTGCTTAGGTCCTTTACTGTTTGTCCCTTCTTAACACAAATAGAAGTCCCAGTAATGAGCTCATTTTGGTGTCAAGATATTTCTTCAAGAGATGGAGGTATTTAGAAAGTGTGTCTCATGCAATCCAAGTGACTCCTCAAAGTGTAGTGTTGAGTTGTTGGATGTGATACCTGGCCAGTCCAAGTGCTGCAGTCAGAACTATCATGACTGAAGCTTTAAGCATTGGGGACCCAAAATTGTATTTTACCCTGTTGGAGGCAGAGTGAGTCACTCTGGCTGTGGAGCAGTGCAGAGGGCACTGTAATGGGATGGTCTCTGCTGGTTGTGTGCACACCTTGTGCTGGAAAACTGCTCCTGGCCATGGGCGGTGGCAAATGGTCAGTTCTGAACAGAAATACCAGAAACAGAGAATGTGAATTGCACACAGGGACTGCTCTGATCCCTGTGCCTCAAATACATAAACTCTCAGCTGTAGTACAAAAGCACATTGTTTCACATTCAAGGATGATCTTAAAGGAACTGTCCTCAGTTTCATCTAGCTCAGTGTAAAATAGTCTGTTTGGTATTGAATAAAGTATTAACAGATGTTTTTAAACTTTAGGTTATAGAAGATACCTCAGAACCAGCACCTGAAACATCACCATATACTGACCTAGATCCATCGAGCGATCTTCATTATAGCTATGAAAATATAGAGCAACAGTTTGCGTGTGATTTGCCTGATAATAAAGATAGTGAATGTGATGCATCTGAGGGAGATGGAGATGTTTTTCTAGCTCAGAGTAATTTTACCTTAGTTTTGGAAGGAGAAGAAGGGGAAGCAGAGATGGGAGACCCTACATCAATAGATGCTTCTAAACCAGATGACAGAACAACAGAAGAAAAGCCTGTGACCAATTTAGGAAATACTGAAAGCCAGGAACATGTTACAAACTCGGTGTCGACTGTAACTGGTGATCAGGAGTCTCAAAATATTGCAGAGTCACTCCCATATGTGCCTGAACCTATTAAGGTTGCCATTGCTGAGAACTTACTGGATGTAATCAAAGACACAAGAAGCAAAGAATTTACATCTGAAGTTGTAGAACAATCTATTCATGAAACCATAGGTAAAAAGGTAACTAGATTCCAGAAGGCAAAAGCTCCCTTAACACCTGTGCTAGAAGTAGTGGGAGAGGAAACCAGCAGACATCATTATGGCATTACTCCAAGAACACGCACAAGGGGACAGCTGGGTAGAAGTCCGGGTGTTCTGTCAGCAGGCACTCAGCAGCTGCTGAAGACAGAGAGCCCAGCTCTGCTTGGACTGTCTCCTCGGAGAAGTAGCAGGCGAACAAAAGAAGCATCTGAGACTCCCAGACTCCAAACAGAGGAAAGTGCTCAAGAGGAGCAAATACCTGTGACACCTGTTACTCCTAGGAGAGGTAGGAAACCTAAACTGTCTAATTTAGAAAAAACAGAAAGCAGCCATTCTGATGCACAAACCTTGTCTGACAGTACGCAGCCTGTTACTCCCAGAAGAGGATCAAGGAAAGCAAAGGAAGCTGCATCTGAACCCCAAGAAGAGATTAATGAGGAAAGGCCTCTTGCTGAAAGCAGCATTACTGCTTCTTTCACTTCCAGAAGGACTAAAGGAGGAAAAAGTTCAGCTGGAAATCCAGAAACTGGCAAGACTGACACTGATCATAAAGTAAAAACAGCAGTCAGCCCCAGTAGAAGTGCAAGAAAATTAAAAAGCTTTAATTTACAGTTTACTGAAGATACTGTCAAGGATCAACAGGTGCAGCTTAGTGACCAACTCCTTTTACCTGTGCCAAGTAAAAGAGGCAGAAGAAGAAAGTTGAGTTCATCAGAAGTTTCAGAACCTTCTGATCTTGATGTGTCTAAATCATCACTTCCTCAAACAGAATTTAAACTTCCCGTCACGCCTAGAAGAAGTGCTAGGAAGGCGGCACAAAACCTCTTGGCAGACTCAGAGCCTGCCTCTTCTCAGGAAGACATACATTCAGGCGTGAAAGTAGAAGTCCTTGATACTCCTAAGAGAAGAACTCGAAAAGTGCCACACGAGAATCCAGAAAAAGTGGATACTCATGAGCAAACTCCTGCAGAGCCAATCGAGGAGCCAACCACACCCAGGACTACAGTAAGGACAGGGCGTCGGGGCAGGAAGAGGAGATCAATGTCCGAGGAGACCTCCCAAGGGCCTGGTGGCAGTCCTTTGTTGCTTGAAGACATAAACCCCTCAGGACATGCTCAGACATCAAGAGCTCTGACAGATCGTGTTACAAGAACCAGATCCCGCAGGACTGCCATCCATGAGAAACTGTCTGTTGAGGAAAATGAGGCTTTCCTTTTCTCCCCTCCTCTCACAAAGCTGACAAAGAAATTTGAAGGTAGGTGCACTATGTTTATATGCAAAATGGGGCATATCCTCTTCTTTAAACCACAGAAAACAAACAAAAGCTGAGGATGGCTTTAAGTATCAAAAAGAATGTAAGCATGCAAAAAAAAAATTGCCAAGAGGCAGTTCATCTTTTGCCTTAAGTCTGTGTGACTGCCTGCTTAGTTCTGGTAGAAACAGATTATGAAGCTGATCTAAGCCATGAAATTAAATTTAAGCTATATTTCTGTAAGGGACTTAATTTCTGTCAGATTTCAAAAAACAGATATTATTTGTGAATATGTGATTGCAATCCCTTCCCCTCCAAGAGAGAAATAAAGGATGTGTGCTTCCAAATTCTGAGATGTGTAAAGACTGTTGATGCTGCTGGAGTATAAAATCTTTGATCATGTAGGTGCAGGTGAAATCACTACACTGGCTTAGTTTTGTTTGACTATGGTAAAAGAAAGAATCCCAAGAGGCGGTTACTAGGGGGAAAAATGCCTTTGCATGGAATGTTTATAAAGGTGATTGGACATTTATTTTGGGAAGCTATTATGTTCTTATTTGTCAGCTGTAATTTAATATTACTGTCCCTCATGTATAGCATATGTGCATACTAACAATGCATTGTCATTTTAGGTGGAAAAACAGACCATCCTGTGCAGTTGAAGGATTTAGACCCGGATTTGTCTTCTCAATTTGTCTTTTCACCTCCTCTTTTGAGGTCAAGGAGAAAAAATGTAGCTAGCATTTCTCGAATTGTGAAAGAAGCAGTAAGTAAAAACTCCAGTTGTTTCATGTTCTTGATTTTAATTCTGTACCTTTTTTGAAGTCATGCTTTGCAATGCTTTGCATTTTTCATTGGAACTATATCTAAAAACAGCTTTAAATCAATCAGCGAAAAATTTTATTGTTTTTCTTCATGCACGCTAGCTACAAAAGTCAGTTGAATCTATGTAAATCAAGAATTGAAAAATACTGTTTTACCTTTAACAAAAGGCACAGTGGCTCTCTTTAATGTTATCTGTTAATTTTAGAATTTTAACTTTTGAGATGGTAAAATAATTTGATGTGGAAAAACTGTTTTTGCGAACAAAGAGTACTTTTTGGAAATAAATTTGGCATGATTTCTTAATGAAAAAAAAATTACTATTCCATAGACGTCTAAGAACTTGTTCATGAGTAACATTTTTGTTGTCTTAACATAGGAGCTTCCAGCTAAAGAGGAAGAGGATACCAAATCCATAGAGTCCGGGGGAAAGCAAAAATTGAAGAGAGGTAGAACTCCCAAGTCAAAACTGAAGAAAGCAAGCAAGTATGAAATACGTTTTGGACAAGTTATTTGCATTTCTTAATGTGATGATGATTGAACTGTTAAGTACCTAAGTGCTTCTTCCTCACTTGGCTGTGCAGCTCTTTTCTCACTCTATCAGCCTGTCTAGCTTGCTCGTCTAATTGGCACGTTTTTTCCATTTAAGGGTTTAGTTGGGTCATGGAAATGGAAGAGGGAGAGAATAGGAAAGGACAGGTGGGTACTAATTGCAGTGGTGACATTGCAATGCTGTTACATTGTCTTATTCCACCTCATGAAACCACAGTCTTCCAGTTTAGTTTCTCATAAAAAGTAGGAAGTGGCCAGACAATGAGTAAAGGGAGTTAAACTAAACTTTTTCTGCCTTGTTTCTATCTACAAAGAAGCCTATGTATTTTTTTTTAATTGATTTTGGAATTCCATGTTGTTTTTTTTCCTTGATTAAATACTGTTAGTAATGAAAAATTGATTTGATGCCTGTCCTTCTTTTCAGAACCACAAAAGAAGTTTCTTGGTCACCTCCACCAGTCGAAATAAAATTCATCTCTCCTTTTGGAAGTCCAGTGGATGGAACAAAAACTAAACAGAAAGAAACTACAGATGCAGCAGGGAAGACCCTCAGAAAGAACAAAAAGAGACTGTCTAATTTTCCAAAGCCAGTTGTGCGCCGGAAGATGCTGTAACTGTTTTTTAAGTTTATAATGTACACCACTGTTTGTAAAGTCATCAAAATTGTGTGAATTAGTAAAAAGAAGAAAAATCATCTAATTTGGAAGAGATAATTTATATAAATTATTGTAAAATTTCATTAAAAAATGGTCTTCAGTAAGTAACTCCATATGGAGTGTGATTTCCTCAGTCAATGCAGTTTTCTATTTTATATTAAGACTTCATACATTTATATAATATGTAAATACAGCTTATTTTAGGAATGTTAAATAAAAGTGTATACTTCTCAATGTGCTCACTGTCTGTTAGCTTTTTGAGGGAATATTGGGTTGAATGACCTGTATTGCTCAGAACTTTTAATGTTGGTTTGTGAGAGTTACAGACTCTCAAAAGTGATTCCAAAAGCTTTTTAAAAGTTAGTTTAGAATTCCTATAACAAGTAAACATTTTAAATATACTAGTTTTAATTTTAAAATTATGTTTGACCTTCTGGCACAAATAATTGGATTTACAATACAAACTGGTAATTCCTTACATTCATGGTTAAGTTGTACTGTATTGAAGTCAGAATGTAAACAGTTGTGTTTTAAGCTGTGCAATATTTTTTTTTGTATTTGTCTTAAACTTTGGGAAAGCTGCTCTTTAGTTCATAAAACCAGATCACACCTCAGATGTGTCATGACTTCTTTAAATTTGTTGTCAGCAAAAAGTTAACTGTACAGATGGTGTGATGCTTACAATAGTGTATCAGATTTAAAGGGATACTACCCAGATACTTTGAAATTTGAACCAAAATTATTTTCATAATACAACTGCTACTATAATTGAAATACTTATTGTCTGTAAACATGCTTTGCAGTATTTTAAACCTGCATATCACAGCACTGAAAACCTGATGGTTAAGCCTATATAACAGTCTGAAAAAGGTACAAAAATGTACAGAAATATTAAGTTACAAACCGTATTTTTGAATAATTATTTCATTAGCAGTCTTGGGTCAAGGAGTATATGTCCCTATAAAGTTTCAATTTGTATAAATAAAGTCACAAACCTATTCTTTTAAAAGCAGACATGGAAGTACTATTTTGATGTGCAGTCTTTTAGACAATGGATTATTTTTCTGTATGTTAATTTATATATGGATGCAACTTTGAAGACTACATAATGGTGCAACCTGATATTAAACTTTTCAATTAGTAAAAACTACTACAGTTATTTTAAGACATAAGTTATTTATTAACTAATAGCTTGTGCATAATGAATGTATTAATAACAGGCTCAGCTTGTGAAAGAAGATTGTTCTGGGACTGATTTTTCTATCTCAGAACAGATCATTCTAGGGAAGCAATTGCATGCACTTGAATATTTTTCTCCTTGGGGAAGTATTCATGACTGAATGAAAGCTTAAAAAAAAAGTCAAATGTTTAAAATGTGAAAGTGGCAGTAAATTGAGACCTTTGAGTCAAGTTAGTAATTATTTTCTCTGTGTATTTTGTACTTGAATGACTATAAATATGGTCAAAGAGGGAAGGGAAGGGAAGTTTAGCAATATTTTTTTATATTCACATTGCAAAGAAGTGCAGTGAATAGCGCAGAAAATGGTAAAAGGTCAAATTTTCAAAATTGGAATAGAATACAGATGGCAAATCTGACTTTTATAGTGTACAAGAGTATTTGTAAAATACTCTGATTATTGTCAAATGGATTTGACTGTTGAAATGCTAGTGAATATTGCTTAATAGGGTTTTAACGCATTTCTGTCGTTTATACTTATATATATGTATATTTTTGGTATGAAAATTAATTAGAACAAATGAAAATACAGCATTAGCTGATTTTATTAGTTTTTAGTGTCTATTTTGTCTACACCTCAGCTAAAATATACTCATTTGTTTGTGCTTAGGAAGAAAGCAAGCAATAGTAAAAGACAATTGGCATTAAATTTAATAAATTCCTAAAGGTTTGCAATTTTCTAGTAACTTTTTACTTAAGAGGAGTTATAATTATGTGTTGAAATGTTTTATTCTTTTCTTTCCCCTTTCTTTGTAACATGGATTTGGTGCACAGTTCTCCAGTGCTGACCAGTTTCCCCAAAGAGCAGTCTAAAAAGGAGCATAAACATAGTGTGTGGGAGTGGGAGCTGAGAAATTTGAAGGACATAGAAGGAAATGGAAGCAAAACCAGACGCTGTGACTGTGTTTAGAGCCTGAGAAAAGGAAGAAGCTGGGGAGCAATGCTAAGGTGCCAGTTCATGAATGGGTTTATAACAAAGTGGAGAAAACAGATTTCATGTGTGTGCTTTCTAGGCTTGCTACATGTGTGAAGGATGAGTGGAAAAGATTTGCAGCTGTTTGCACATGGATCTGAGAGGGAGAGAGTAGTAGTGCCAGAGAAGGGCAGGAGGGGCCTGTGGGAGGGTGAAATGCATTGTGATGGTGGATGCGTGCAGAAAGCTGTGGGGGCATAGAGCTGCAATTTACTTGCAAACAAGGTGGGAATTTCACAGGAACTACTGCTCATTGCTAAATAGAACATTCTGAAGGTTTTCTATAGGAAAGTAATTCATTGAAAGGTGTATGTTTTTATCCCCTAAAGAAGTGCTGGATGGCTAAAAGCTGGAGCCAGATTGTGCTGTACCTTTGGGGTGTAACCCCAAAAAAAACACTGGAAGGCTGACCACCTTGGGACAACAGAATCTTAGCTTTCAGGAAGAATAAAAGTGGGGAGCAGTGGCAGATTTTATTTCCAGGAAGCACACTGGAGGAGGTACTAGTGGTGGGAGTATGAATAACATTAAGGACTGTTGTTAGAAGGTATGTTGTAAAGAAAAGAAATGTTACAGTGGAAATGGTTCTCTTGAGTTACCTCAAAAACTTTTTTTCTTAAAATATTTATAAGCTAAGGCTGATGAAACTATTCATTCCAGGTTGTAACACAAAGGAGAGTTAAATCTATTTTATTTTCAATAGCCACTCAGTGCTTGAAGTGCTAATTGATTCATGTTGACTTTGTTTATTTGCCTTAATATTTCTACATGTCCAGCGTGCAAGTAAGGGCACAGATAATTATTTAATCCCCCATCAGAACTTCCTCTCATGGAAGACTACTCTCAGGGTTGTCAGTGCAATAAATTTGTTTGCTGCAATTCCATTACTTCCCATGTAACTAATATATAGCAAAGTTGTTGATTTCTGGTGGGGAAAAAAGAAGCTATAAGCAGAAAACAATCTACAGGTTCTCATGAATAGTTAGGCAATGCTTGCAACAAATTAGTCTAGGCCAGTCTGAAAATACTGAAATAATAGAATTTTAAGTAATAGGACAGTGTTTGCTTCTTTTGTTTGTACTTTTGTCTTCTGTGCAAACTTCTGGCTTTCCCTTCCAGGAATACTTTTTTTACCAAAGTAGTCAAGATAATGAGTCTCTTTGATATGCTTGAAGATAAATGTTCTGTGGTTCCTGTTGAATTAAAGCTATTCCTAAAATAAAATGCATTTTCCAGCACTGGGCTGTGTGGATGACCAATATGTGAGGTAGAGGGGAAAATGCAGGTTATGGTTACTGATGTATCCATTCAGGCCCGTTTCTCCTGGGCTGTGTCATGACTCAGAGCAGGCATTGATGTGCTGTGCATTGCTGCAGAACTTGGTTTAAACCTGAACTGAAACACGAATTATTAGTGAATGACTGATTGCTTGTATTTTGATATTACAACTGGGATTTTAGTAACAGTGAGAGAAGGATGCAGGAGGTGGATGTGTGATTTCTGTAAAAACCAACAGCGCAAGCATATGACCCGAGGAGTCCAGGGCACAGAAAAACCTTTGCTTTCCATCTGTTGTGGCTTCTGACCATGGTGTCTTTCTTAAAGGACAAGAACGGTGTGCTCATCTCAGCAGGACCCAACAGTTACATGGGCCAGGTAAGATCTTACTCAAAGAAACAACTAAAATCAGTTTTTGCTAATACACTGTTGTAGACTGGTCAGTCTTTTTATCTATCCTTATTAACATTCACCTGAGTGTGATGCACATGTCTGGTGTTCATTGGTTTGAAGTGTTACATGCTCTCACATAGAATCACAGGATAAACTGAGTTGGAAGGAGCCCACAAGGATCATCAAAGTCCAACTGGCCCTGCTCAGAACCATCCCCTAGAGTCACACCATGTGCCTCAGCATTGTCCAAACATTTCTTGAACTCTGTCAGGCTTGGTGCTGTGACCACTTCCCTGGGGGGGCCTGTTCCAGTGCCCAGCCACTCTCTGGGTGATGAACCTTTTTCTAATATGTAGGAGGCCTAAACTTCCCCTGACGTAACTTCAGGCCTTTCTCTCGGGTCCTGTCACTGATCAGCAGAGATCAGTGCCTGCCGCTCCTCTTGCCCTCATGACAGAGTTGTAACTTCAGTGAGGGCTCCCCTCAGTGTCCTCCCTGCTGAACAGACCCAGAGCCCTCAGCTTCCCCTCATACAGCCTCCCCACGAAGGCCTAGGCCCCCCTAGGCCCATCTTCATTGCCCTCCTCTGGATGCTCTCCCAGAGTTTAATATCTTTCTCTTTTGTATGCTGTCTCCCAGGCCTGCAGAGTACCTGCTGCAGGTGCTGGCTACGTTGTTTCTGGGAGCAGCCGGCAGCGGCTCTGCCCTGGGCAGGCCGTGCCAGTAGAGGCTGGGCGTGTGCCCTGCGCCTGCCTGGCAACAACATGGCTGCTGCCTAGCCAGGCTGGAGCGCTTCTGCCAGAGGCCGTGCTGCCTGACAGCCCGACTTGCTGCTCTGGGATTGAGATGTCAGATACAGTTTTGGAGAAACAGTGGTGACAGGCCTTTCCTGGTGTGACACTGTTTTACTGGTGTGATAGAGAGTAGAATCCTTAAACTGGCAGGAGAGAGTCACCGAACACCAGGCCCTGTTGCACGGGTTGCAGCTGATCTTGTCAGGTTGCTGGTTGTAGAAGCCTGTTGGAGAATTAAATGTTCCAAATCTGTCTGGGTGCAGCCTTTGGCAGCCTGCTCTAGGTGATGGCTTGAGCAGCAGGGCAGTTGGATGAGATGACTGCCAGTGGTTCCAGAAGGCCATTTTAGAATTCTGTTATAAAGCCAAGATTCTGGAACTTGGGCTGGGAGGGACAAGCAGTGAGATACCACACTGCTGTGTTCTGTACTGAGCCCTTTGGCACCTATGTCTGCCTGTCCAGGTAAAGGAAGCAATGTAGAGACAAGCATTGACTCAGCACAGACTTCAGGAACTTTTGGTTGCTTAGTCATGTTAGACAGGCTGCAACTCTTGAATAAAATCAGTTGTGTGTCAGACAAGAACCACAGCAGATAGCTGGATAAATTTGCTGTAATGTCTAATTCTGGTTCTGTGTTGATTTTTTCTCACTTAAAGGAAAATGAAACCTTTGGTCTGCATCTAATACAGAATCTTAGCTGTTGGGGGCTGTTGGAAAAGAGTGTTGAAATCCTTTCTACTTCTTATCTTCTCCTGCAGGTTAATGCTTCCTGGAGAGCACAAACTTTTTAAAATACTATTTTTCTGAGATCAAATCTTACTAACCTATATGAGTAGACTTAAACTCAGTGTGTTGTTCTAGACCCTGTTGTTTATCATGTTCATCCCTCTGTGTCACTTTTGGTTGATCTCATAGGCATCAGAAAAGCACAAGATTCCCCTTTTGCTCTGCTGTGAGATGAAAAACTATCCTGAGTTCAATTTTTTTCAAGCAGAAAGAGCTACAGATGATGTATAAGAGATTTGTCACTGCATACTGATGAAGCTTGCATCAGTCTCAAAGATTTTTGCCCTTTTTTTCTTTATATTCAGTGAAGAATGCGAGACCTAACAGCTCAGGTAACGAGCAGTCTGCTGCAGTTTCCAGAGGTGACTGTTGAGGCACTTGGGGAAGCTGAGACAACACTAGACTCTGTGTTGTGTGGAAAGTTTTCTGGAGGTGAGCATTTTCCTTTAAATTTGGATTTGGTATAAAGTTGTTATCGCCTGAAGCACAGGGTCATACCATCAGGTTGGTTCTGTTAAGTAAAATGTATCAGCTTCTGATAGTGCTAACAGGTTAATTTAATAATCAGAAATGCTAAGTATTGGAAGTGCAACAGCCTGCTCCAGTAATGTGCTGTTTAAATAATATAGCTGACCATGCTCCATTCGGTTTTGAATGAAATAGAAGGTAATTTTCAAAGAAGAAATTGTGTTATTTCATGTTGTATTTCATTGTACCAGCTCAAGCACTGCCCACATACTTCCAAGGTATTTAATAGGATGCAGATGAGGACTCAGTGAGAGTTGCTGACAGCAGCTAAGCAGATTAGGCAGGTGACTTTCTAGGTGATCTGCAGGTAGAGCTGGACACCTGTCTGCATGTCTGGGCTTCTGTTAAGACTTGCTAGAATCTTATCTACCTGACTTTACGTGCAGAAATGGAGCTAATCCTTCCTTTGAGCTTGAAGGAACGAGTGTTAAATTCTTCAGTGAAACAACACTTGTTAAAGTCTTTCTGGGATCAGCAGGTGTCACAGTTGAAATTTATGCATGCAGTGCCCATTTTAAGATAATTTCCTGTCCAAATCTCTGCCCAGAGTAGTCATGTGTCAAGCAAAATTCTTAACAGGAAATGAATTGGTTTAGATGGTCAGTGTTTGAAGTATGCTCTGAGGCTTGTATTCCTGCACGTATTCAGGTGTTTTCTAGCAAAAGCAAGCCAAGTCTGGTGTACAGGCTAGAGCTCAGTCTATCGTAACCTTTTTGCCAATCAGTCAACGTTCCTGAGTGCAGGAATGATAAGTACAAATGCAAAAGAATGGGGTTATTAATTTTCAGATGTATTGGTTGAGGATGTCAATGGGTGATGTAAAGCAGTTGTCCAGATGTGGGTAGGTTTGCCTTCCTCCATCCCTTTGGTGCATTTGAGGGAAAGGCACAGTGCCAGTTGCATTGCTGCTGTTTGAGTTCTTGTGCTGGGGATGTGCTCAGTGCTGTTTCTTTCCCCTCGCAGGCAGAAGTGGCCTGGCGTGGCTGGCGTGTGGCCCCCAGCTGGAGGTGGTGAACTCGGTGACAGGAGAGCGGCTCTCTGCCTATCGCTTCAGCGGAGTGAACGAGCAGCCTCCCACTGTTCGTGTGGTGAAGGAGTTCTCTTGGCAGAAGAGGACTGGACTCCTGGTTGGGTTGGAGGAGGCAGAGGGAAGTGTTCTCTGTCTGTACGATCTTGGGACCTCAAGAGTGGTTAAAGCAATTGCTCTTTCAGGGAGGGTATGTATCTTTTTGGTGTAATGAAGATTTGGTGGTGTTTGATGCTGCATATTCCTGTTTCAAGAAAAGCTTTCAATGTCTCTTTGAAGTTTGTATGTTTTCTGTATTGTATTAACATATTGTCAGCCAAGAGAGCCTTTTTCTCAACACCCCTTTCTGCATTTTTGTCTTTTATTTTTTCCAAGGCCTTAAGGAGCACCATGCTTCCGATATTATTTTCCCTGTGAGTTTATAGTGATTGTATGTTTCAGGACTGTTGCATGTATTTTCCCAAATTCTACTTGTTTGTATGCAGCAGAAGGGTAGCATTCAGATTCAGTGAGCTGGGAAAAGTTCTCTTTGTTCTTCCTCAGAATGAGGCAGAACACGAGGAGAATAGGAAAAAACACTGCATAACATAATGGAAAAATATGTCATTTCAGGAGCTTCCACATGGAACATTTTTGGAAGATTCTGCAAAACTGGTAAAATTCATTTGGAGCCAGTTGTACAATGAAAAAAATATCTTAAAACAAAAAAGTTAGAAGTAGCAAGCCTTGGACCTTGGCTAATTGCACAGCATGATGTGTTCTGTATTTCCTCATCACTGTCACTAAGACTTGAAGCACAAGGATTTAAATAATCAAAATACATTTGTTAGTCCTCTGAGCAGCAGAGAAGATTGGTTATTTAATTTGAATCATAGGAATTGTGAAAGAAAATAAAGTTGCCTGTATTTACTAGATATACCTCTAAGCTTGGAGTTCTTGTGACCAAGGCAAAAGGTGGATTGTATAGCAGGTGGCCAAGCAGTGCAATCATAAGCAAGTGCTTGATACAGGAGAGGAGAAAACTTCAGGAGGTCTATGAGTTTGGATATTTCCCCCACTTCTAGGGGTAAATAACTTACATAAAAAGATGGAGTGCCTTGTGACACTCGCTTCTTTGCTTTGTTTTCAGACAAACTTTTGTTGTTGATGTAAAGCTGTCTGTTTTCATAGTGCTGCATTTGTAAGAGGCCAGAAGATCGCCCCTGTTCTTGTGTTATCCAGCTTCAGTGCAGGAGCCGTGGTGTGCTTGTGTCTCTGCTAGAGCAGGCAGTCTTGTCCTGGGTGTGCTGTGGGTGCTGAAGGGTCTGTCTTCACCTGGGCCTGAGATCGCGGGGACTGCTTGGCCTGTCAGGGAGCAGGGAGAGCTCCTGCCTCAGGCTGAGCAAGTTCTTGTTTGGTCTCTTGCTGTTGCTTTAGGCTGCCTTTTACAGTTTACTTTTCCATGTGTAACAGTGGTGGTGTGCATTTAAAATTTTTGTTGGATATTATCAGTCAAAGCGAGGACCAGTGTAGATTTTAGTAAGCCAGCGTCTCCCTCCAGCCCTTTGTAGGAATGTTTCATGCCCATGGGAATCTTACCCTGTATTTCCTTTCCTGTTTCTGACGTGCTAATGCTGGTTTCCCTTCTGAGGATTACTCTTGAGCCTGTCAAAGAGCTGTGATGTTAACCTGCAGCTCCCTGCAGGTGACTGCCATCGAACCCATCAGCAATGACGGCGGAGCCAGCGTGAGCACCCGGCACCTGCATCAGAGTCTGCGATGGCTCTTTGGAGTGGCAGCAGTGGCCACAGATGTTGGCCACGTCCTTCTGGTTGACCTTTGTTTGGATGATTTGTCTTGCAGTCAGAATGAAGTAGAAGCATCGGGTAAGCTGCAGTTTTTAAACTCAAATTTAGAAGTAAGGGAATGTATTTCTTTCCAAAAACCGTCTTGTATCCCAGCGAGGACCCCAGTGTGCTGACGGGCCACTGACATTTCTGACGTTGCTGATTGCAGATGACATCGTATGGTCCTGAACTGATCCAAAAATGGGAGTGGCTTAGTACTCCTCCTGATGTTAAGAAGGTGTCTTAACTGCCAATGTCTCTTTGTCCCTGTGATTCTTAGTGCAGGATGAAGGAATTTTTCAATTTGAGTCAGAGCAGCTGTGTGATAGGAAGTTGTGTCAGAGGTACCCTAATTCTTGGGTGTGATCTCCTGTTTCCATTAGTGACTTGGGGCAAGTTTTAGGCTTGTGTTTTAAAATAAATCTGGCTTATCAAAAGTCCTGCATTTGGGTGAATGAATACTGCAATTTGTGTTTTCAGGTTGCATACACTGTTGTGGGTGTTGTAAGAGTGGCTTCAGGACTTCGTGTCCCTTCAAGTAGCTTCATCATGGGGCTCAAAATCCTGATTTATAGGGTCCAAGAAGAATTTGACTACAATGGTTACATTTTTACCCTGTTTTGAAATAGGAGTGAGAATACCTGTCCCATTGGAGAGTCCTTTTGTTCTCTGAATGGGTGCAGAAACAGAAATAGCAAAGGTGTTGCAGAAATGGGTGTTTTGCCTGGCACAGTAGAATTAGATTATACATGCTGTATAATCACATCAATTTAAAATGGAACTGAAGTGGCATAATACATTAATTTCTTGCCTGCTTTTTTTGTGTGTAGATCTAGAAGTTGTCACTAGAATTCCTGCTGAAGTTCCACAAAGAAGAGAAGCTGTGATGAGGGAAGGGAGGCATCTCTGTTTTCAATTACGAAGTCCTTCAGGAACAGCAGTATCAACCCTGTGCTACATAAGCAGAAGCAACCAGCTCGTTGTGGGTTTTTCTGATGGCTACTTGTCACTGGGGAACATGAAAACTTTGAAGAGGGCGTAAGTAGTCACTTCCACTTGGCCATGCTCAAAGGTACAGGGGTCTCAATTTTTCTCCTTCAGGAAATATATTAATTTCAAGCTCCCTTTTTCTGTGAGTGGGATGTTGGGTATAATCATGGAGTGTTCAGAAATCCTCTTCTGAAATAACTATTAACTCATACATGGATTAAGTCCAGTACTTTCTCTCCAGTGGATTGCAGTTAATTTCTTACCGTGCCTGTGGATAGAGGTCTTGTGGAAAGTACTGGGTCATGTCAGACAGTAGGGATGTGAGAGATCTTATTTTTATAAGTCAGTTTGTTCTCTCCAGTCATGTTCAGTGAAACAAGGCAATGTATATTTTTCTGTGAGACAGGTTTCAGGACAATAGGACATGCACTGACAGGCTTCCATGTATGAATAATGTGGTTTTGGTGATTATATTTTTTTAAGGGACCAGGATGAAACTAGTGAGACATAATTCAACAGCTGATCTGTGCTTGAAAGCATATCCTTTCCTACATTTCAGCCTTGATGCAAGTAGGGGGTTGACCCATTCCTAGGCATAGATCTACATGAACCAATTTTCCTTGGAAGCCTTGGAGATGAGAATAAGAAGCATGTAAATTTATGAAAAATGGAAAAATAAGGAAATTATTTAAAATCTGCTGAAGAACAATCTCACTTTAAATACTTGGCCAGATTCAGATAGGTGTTTACTTTAGCAAATCTACAGTTATTCACCAAAAATTACTGATACAAAAAAAGATAGAGAAGCCAAAACTAGGTGTCAGGAAAAGATTGTGAAGGTACAGCTAGGGTTCAGAAGTCTGAAAGAAAAAGTTTGTTACAATATCCAAGTAAAGTAATGAGAAGCTCTTTGTGTTTGGTTTTATTTTAAATATGTTCAGATTTAATGCATTTTAAGTTCAATATTGAAGTAGGCTTCAACAATAGGAACAGTGTTTTCCCCAGCAGCTGTACTAATCATTTCTGCTCCTCCTCCTCAGCAGAGGAGGACATAGAGGTTATTGCTTTGATGGACAGAAATTTCCTCACCTTGACTGTTGCATAAAAGGTACTCCCTTGCTTGATTCAATTATTTGTCTTTTCTATCTTTTTTTTCAAACCTGTAGGCACTACACTCAGCTTGGAGGAAGGATTCCTGTCTGTGCCCTTACTTTTCAAGAGCCTGAGGGTGATCTTCAAAATTGTTGCTACTTATGGGCTGTTCAGTCTACACAACAAAGGTGAATAAGAATTACCATAAGACGCTTATTTTGCTAATTTTTAAAAAATATTTGTTCACATAGAGCTGTCCCTAAAAGAGGACAATGGCAGTATTGTTGGTTGCTTCATGAGAGCTTCAGAAGTCTTCAGAGTCCTTGTGTGCCAGTTCAGCTTCCCTGGCAGAAAAGGAACAGTGTTCAGCAAACAAATCAATGGTTTCCAGCTGGGATAAGGAATAAGTCAGAGTGTGGAAAAGGGTGCTGCATGCAAGAGAGGGACTGGAATTTAGGTGGGAAGGGGACAAACATACCTCTCTCTCTCTCAGCATCAGTAAGCTGCTTAGTCAGCCCAGCTTTCATTGAGTGGCAGTCGTCTAGAGCTTGACTTCAAAGCAGTTTTCATGGAGAACGCTTTACTGTGAAAAGCTATTTCCAACAGTTTTAGGTCCATACTGCATATTAAAGCTTTCCAATGGTACAGTTAGCATCTTCCCCTGAAGCTGTTTGTGTCAAAATTTCCTCCTTTATATTTTACTGCCTAAGTATGGCCAATTATCGTGTTTTGGGAAGCAGTGTTTTTCTTTTCAGGAAGAGCACGCTCTTATGTAAGTTTCAGCCTAGATCTAATAAAACGATAATGAGGATTGAAATACAGCTTTGTAATCAAATTTCCTCATTTATACATTTTTTCAGTGAAGGGAATGCTGTGAATTTACATCTGTTGCAGTTAGCATTTGGTGACAGGAAATGTCTGGCATCAGGACAAGTCATGTACGAGGTAAGACAGGCCTATATGTGAGAAGATTAAAAGATAAAGTTTCCCTTGAGTATCATTTAAGTTGGTTCTTTTTATATGAATGAAAGCTGAAATTTCTAGTCATTAAAATGAATGCCTGATGAGTTTATGGAGTTATCGTGCTTTATCTTAAGGAACTGTCCTTTGGTATGGTGGACATCTTGTTCAGGTCAACATTTTTGATTAAAATTGATTTTATCTTTAGTTCAGTTCATAAGAAAGATGAGATTTTTTGCTTAGGCTTCATGTTAGATTTTTAAAGAGATGGTTTTGATTTTTCTTAGCTTTTCTTTTTCTAGTGCATGCAATCTGTTATTTCCAAAATTCCTGAATAAAATATAATGGAATGTGCATGCTTCAGGACAAATTTTACCATTTTTTCTTTTCAGTAATGAAAGACTTTTTAATCTATTCATTTATTTTAGACACCTTTGATATTTATTTGTAGCATTTCCTGGAACCATTAAGAGAAAGCTTGTGTCTTCTCAGATTAGATTAATGAAATGTATAGAATGAGAATATGTTGTTTCATGCCAGTTCATTTTAGATATCTGAAAGTTTAGGAAACCTGTTTTTTGATTGGAAGTGGTTTTGCTGTTTTTTCAGTTTGGTGCTTTGTTGGGGTTTTTTTATTGTAGAGCTGCTATTTGTCCACAATGCACACACATTCACATGTTTAATGGTAGACAGGTTAAATGAAGGCTGTACTGGAAAGAAAATATTTCAGTTAATGCTTCCTTAGAAAATGGTGGTGGCAGAGGTTCAGGGCCATCCTTTCTGTATATCTGTGTATCTCAAAGCAGTTTGCTTACTCTGTAGTAATTTGGGATCCTAAACACATTGTCCACGTTCATCCCATGTCCTCTCCATAAGAAATTGAGGGATATTTCCCTGATAAGAGCTCATGTGGTTTGAAAGAAGGTTTTAAATCTCTAGGAAGTTCTCATTGTTACTAGAGAGATGAGTGTTCACTACTAATGTGTCTATCCATAACATCTAGTGACAGACCTTTAGCTGCCGTAATGTCAGGCTCTGTAATCAAAATATGAAGCAAAGGCTTTGTGTGAAGATGTGTTGCATTGTTTCAGATGTCTCTTTGTAAGTACATATTCAGGTTTGTAAAGACACCTTCATGGTGCAAAGAACTCTGCAAAACATGTATAGATCTAGACTAATGTTAGGAAAATGCTAAATTTTGAAAGTATGTAAAAGCCTTTAGAGCTAAACTTGCCCATTACGACTTAACACTTAATTCTCTTGCATGTCAGGTGTAGTTCCTATTGATGGGAAACATACAGTAAAAGAGGCATATTATGTCAGAAACTTGTATTAATTCATATTTAGGTATAATGTATGTTGTTATTTCAAAATTGCCTTTCCCTTCTTCTTCATTTTTTCCCCCCAGGGTTTTACATACTGTGTCAAACTCTTCAGTTTGGATCTCTCAGGTGGAATCTTTCCCTGGAGAGGGCAGACCAGCAATACTAAATTCCTCAGCTTTCAGATCATAGAAAAAATTCGCAACCATGCTGACAGAGAGGATAGTGTTAATGAAGGTTTGTTCTGATGTCTCTGATTGGTTATTCTAAACTACATGCTTTGGAAATCTAAGCAATGAATACTGTTCTATACCCACAGTCTTAAAGTCTTAAATATTCATCTAGCTGACCTTGTTGGGCTTATTTAAAAAAACCTGTGTGTTTAAGTTATATGAGACTTCCTATCCCTCTGAACACCATTCTTTAAGGGGAAAAGTAGGTTTTATCTGACATTTGCTGGGATGCTAGAGCAGTGTATGGGGTCATCTGTATAGGGCTGGTCAGTTTGTTCTGCCAGTTGTCTTCATTGAACAGTAATACCATTCTTTCTATTGCTGAGGAATGTTACCTGAATTTTTTTTTATCCTGCTCAAATCTCTGGCTGCATCCAGTGTGCATCCAGTGAATCTAGTTCCCCAGGGCTCAGTACTGGTGCCTGTGAAATATCTTCATCAATGACCTGAATGAGGGGATCGAGTGCACCCTCAGTGAGTTTGGGACAACACCATCTTGGACAAGAGTCTTGATCTGCTGGAGGGTAGGAAGGCTCTGCAGAGGGATCAGCACAGGCTGGATCAATGGACCAAGGCCAACTGTAGGAAGTTCAAACACCTCTTGCAATACTACAGACTCGGGGAAAAGTGGCTGGAAATGTGCTTGGTGGAAAAGTACCAAGGTGTCCTACATGACAGCTGGCTGAATATGAGACACCACACCACATAAAAAAAACCAAATCCCCAAAATAACAGCAAGAAGAAAAACCTTTTCTGTCTCATTATTATCAAGGATGAGGCATGACGAATACTTGTTAGTTTTTTTATAGTTTCTAATTAGATTTTATTCAGAACCTGTTCAAGTTAAGTTCTTAGCACACATGAGCTTCTTCTAGATGTATGTTGAGGTTAGCAGTGAAGTTGTCTTCTGAGTTGTGAAGGTAATTGTTATACTCTAAGGCAGTTTCAGCAGCTGACAAAATTGAAATGGCACAGAAGTTCACAATGAGGCATAGTAAAGTGTGTGAGGATCCCTAGTGATGAATTGAAGAGAGAACAGAGAAGCATATTGCAAAATATGCTATCTTCTTTTGTTTCTTTCTCTATTAGAGTAAATGATATTCACACACTTTGTTTTACACCTAGAGAATGCATTCTCCCCAGAGAACACAAAACATTCCACTTACTCAGGAAACTGAAATAGAACATTGGGAATGTTTTATGTTAAAATCTTTATTCTTATGTCCTGTTTGTATTTTTAAGTATTATATTATTTATTTAGTCTGAAATTTTTATTATTTTACTTTGACTCTTTAAACTTCCTCTTTAGTCACATATGGAAATCAAATCATGCTAGCTGAGTGACACAATTATATAAGAAAAATACAAGTATGCTTTTTAAAAATAGCGATCTATGAGTTCCTAGCATATCTTTCCCCCAAATTATTCATTCAGCAAACTTATTTAATAACATGCAAAGCTTAATTAATAACTGTGCACTTGATTTTGTTTAAAATAAAAGTAATTTGGATAAGAAAAAGAGGCAGTATGACTGAAGCCTGTTGCAAAAATGATTGCTATTTCATATATGTTTTTATCATTCCTAGTAAAGTGTTGTGGTTCATAAGTGAAATAACAGCAAATATCTCATATTTTCTACAGTAAGAAACAATGTCTTGTTTTTGACAGTAATCTCTCCTGACACCAGTGTATCAATCTTCAGTTGGCAAGTGAATACCTATGGTCAGGGAAAGCCATCCACTTATTTGGGTGTGTTTGACATCAATCGCTGGTATCATGCTCAAATGCCAGACTCACTGAGGTAGGTTTTAATTAAGTGATTTCAATATCCCTACATAGGCTTAATTTGAAAATTGCTGTTGAGCTTATGCACTTGTTTTCTTTCAGGCCAGAAGAATTCCTTCATGATTGCCCCTATTTTGCACTGTGGTCACTGGATCCTGTAATAAGCATGACTTCTCCAAACCTCATTTTGGATATTCTGGTACACGAGCGTAGTCTAAGTCGGGGGGTGCCTCCTTCTTATCCACCACCTGAACAGTTTTTTAATCCAAGCACCTATAATTTTGGTAGGTATTTCACTGCTTTTCATTTGAATTGTGACAAGCTCTAGTGGAGGTCAAATGCCACTTAGTGGTTCTCTTTCTTGTTTGTTGTTTTTTGCACAAAAACCAAAACAAAAAAAGTCCCCCACAAACCTTCTCAAACCTGGTTACCTTGTCCTGACAAGGTACTTCCTCTTGTGAAACATATCTGACAAGCTACTGTGTTTTGAGCCTTCTGTAACATAGCCTGGGAAGGGGTGATGGTCATAAAATGAAATGCCTTTGAGCTGAGGCCCAAAGCACAGCACCTGGGTGCCACTACAGACAGAGTAACTGCTTTTCATGGCAAGTTTGTAAGTGATGTGATGAAGGAACGGGGTGCTAGAGGTTTGTCTTTCCAGACTGCACTATTGAAAAAGCATAAAGTGGTGATAAGGTAACAGGGTCTGTCAAATATTCTTGTTTCTGCAGATGTGACGTGCTTGCTCAACTCGGGAGTTGTTCACATGACTTGCACCGGCTTCCAGAAGGAGGTGACTTTTATTGCTGTCAAGAGATGAACCTTTTCTAACTTTTCCCTTGCAGTGCTTTGAGTGTCAGAGGCCACTTGATACTCACACTGCCCATCCACATGTATAACTGCAGTCACGTCCTGTCAGTTTCATGCAAATGGTACTGTTTTAGGGAGGCATGAGCAGGGATTGAATGGCTAGAAAGGAATGCAGCATTGCTGTAGAAGGAAGAAAGAAAGAGTGTGGTGGAAGTTGGGAAAAGTGTTTACTTCTTTGTATGGTGTGGAGTTAGGGTTTTGACCCCTGATGAACTTGAGAAAGGAGGTCAGCATGGAGAAAGGGAAAAGTGATTTAACAATTTAAGAAGAAATGCATGTTTTTTCTCTCAACCTTGGCCAAGTTATAACTTCTGAGCCACTGCACAGCTTGTGACAAATCCTTTCAAATTAAGTTCCAGCTCACTAAATACACCCATATAAATCAACTTCTGCACAAATGAGCAGATAATCTTTCAAAGAGTGATTTGTATTTGTATTAGTTTTAGGATTTGACAAATTACAGGATGTAATTTGTCAATGTTCACGGAAAAGCAAGGCCTGTGTATTGGCAGAGAGGCTGGAAAATAATTTCTTTTCTTCAGCACTGCAGGGGTTTTTTCTTCTATATGATGTTTTTTTAGAAACTGGAGCTGTTAGTGTGCTGCTGTCTTTTAAGACTCTACATAGCAATGCTTACCAAAATTGCTAACCTAAAGCCTGCTGCTACTAATGCAGCTTTCTGACAGTCTAAGTGATCCAAAACCTTTGTGATTGAATGTTGTCTTAATCTGTGTGTTTTGATTGATGTTTCAGACCCTGAAGTTTTTGAAGAAATCTGGTCCTTTAATAAGTGAAGCCATTCGTGACAGCTACACTCGGTGTCTTGTAGCTGGCTTGCTGTCTCCAAGACTGGTTGATGTCCAGCCATCCAGTCTGACTCAGGTGAGTGTATGTTGGGGAATCCAGAGGGAAATAGATCCATCTTGTCTGAAGGCT